AAGCCCCCCGCCCGCCAGCCCCGCCGGCGGCCCCCTCGGCCCAGCGGCCCCGCCAGGCGCTCCCGGGGAGCGAGAGGGGCCGGCCGCGGGCCGCAGCGGGAGCTGCTGGGACTTGTAGTTCGCCCGCGCCCGCCTCGGCCGTCGCCATCGCTGCCCCCGCCCCCCGGGCTAGCCTTTGTCCCGGCCCGGCCACCTGGCCGCGTTGCCGCGCCTTTGTCTGCGCCGCGCGCCGCCCGCGCTGTCCCCGCCGCGGCCTCTCCTGCTCTGCGACTCTCTCAGCCCCTCTCCGTCCCTCTGCGCCCCTGCCTCTCTCTGTCTGTCCCTTTATCCCTCTGTGTGTTTCCCTCCGTTTCAATCTTTGCCTCTCTTCCTGTCCCTTTTCTGCCTCTGTCCTTCTGTCTCTGCCTTGTCCGGTTTCCTCTCTCTCCCCTCGTCTCTGCCTCCCTCCCATGTCTCTGACTCCATCTCTGTTCCAGAAACACCAAACGTTCTATCTCTCTCTTGCAGATTGGCAGTGCACTTCGGCAAAGCCAAGACTCAGAATTTTCAGACTTGTGTATCTTTGCTCAGTCCAGCCTTTGTTTCCCCATAAGACTCCTCCTCCAAGGAAAAGAGCTGGGGACACCGAATGTTTCCCTCCTCCTACCCAGTGGCGCAGTGCTGTCGCCAGCAGACTCCCCGTGCCTGGTACTCCCTCTGGAGAGGCCAGGGCCAGGCCTGGGAAGCACTCTGGGCGAACTTTACCTGGAGACACAGATCCCTGTCAAGAGGGAGTGAAACGCAGCCCCCGCAGCTGGCAGCTGGGCCGGGATGTTCTTCACTGAACATAAACAACGGTCACAGAATATAAACAATCATCACACAAGGCCACTCTGTGACCGCGTCTGAGCCGAGATAGAGACAAGGACAGTTTGCAGCCACAAAAATGAATACACATCCTTCTCTGATGATGACTGCTGCTTCTCCCAATGACAGCCCCGGGTCCATCCTCCCACCTCTGAGATAAAAAGCACCAATACCCCGTCACAGACCTGCCCCCTACTTTCTGCCAGCACTAGGCTAGGGTTGCTTGTACTCGCCTCAACTCTCCTTAAAACTACCCAGCTCAAGCCGGAATCTAATAAGATGCCCTCCTGTCCCCCAGTGACTCTTCCCCCTGTGGGGTCTTCCTTGCTGGAGCAAGCAAAAAAAAAATTTTTTTTTTTGACTACAGTTTAGTGTCCAATGGTCTTTGGCTGGTGAGTTTTCAAACCACCTAACCTTGAATGCAGCCTCAAGCAAATGAGGCCTCCAGGAGTCTTTGCTCTTCCTTCCCGAACCTTCTAGATCTGTGCTGGACTTCTGGCCTGGGACCTGCTTGCCACCTCTCTGTGGAAAAGCTCTCAGCTGAGAGACTTGAGATCGCAATTGGATTATGCCGCTGGTTCCTCATCCTGCCGCCTCCTGGCTGATCCCATTACAAATAATACTTGTAATGACAGCTGTCGTTTCTGTCTGCCCAGTATCTCTGTCAGCACCTTGTCTTCCCTCTGTGGAGCCCCCTTCACTACTCCAGATGGACCTGTGTCTAACACAGCCCCCAGCACCATGAGATCTAAACTTACCAATCAGAGAACCCCGCCCCCTGAACAATAATGAGGTCTGGGATGAAGCCATGATGCTGGAGGGTCTCATTCTTCCTCTGGGATCATGAGCCATACATAGGGCCTCATTCAGCCTGCAGCCACCTTCCCCGGTTGTCTGGAAGAACAGTCTGCAGACTGAAGCCAGTCTATACCAGGATGCAGAGGTGAGAGTTGGAGAGACAACCCTGACTATAGTGGTTGAGCTCCTGGATATAGCCACACCTGAAGCCAGAAGCTCTGTCTTTCCAATACCAGGAGCCAACAAATTTCCTGGGTATTTGAGCTAGTGGGATTCTGTCCCTTGCATCCATGACAGTCTTGACTAATTTAAAATTAGCTCCTCGAAAGGTTAAAGTATTGAAGGAAATAGCTTAAAATTTGAAATTGAGCCAAGGTGAGGTAGAGGGTCATGGCCACCACATACACATATCTTCATTATAAAGTGAACAGGGCTTCAAGATTTGTGCAGTGCACAGCCTCCCCGGATGTATGTGGCAGCATCATGGAAGAGGCATCCTCAGGAAAGCAGAGCTCTGTTATGTGGAAGAAAAATAGCTGATTAAATTGTTGCCTATTTTCTCTTGGCACGCTAACCTTGTGTCTCCCGAGACTCTGGCTTAAGTAGCTTTGGAGGAAAATATCAGGACGCTGGGATATGTGGATGCTGTCATGAAGCCTTCAGCAAAGTCTTCCAAGACAGGCACAAGCTCCCTCTATACACTCCTTCTTAAAGCAGAGCCTAGCACTTGCTCAATTTTGTGAGATTGCCAGAGCTGAATTCTCTGTCCTGAGTGAAAAGAGGATGTTAGTAATGAGGTGAGAGGTAAGATTGGGATTATCAGAGAACTGGTGGGCATTTGATGTCTCCGCCTACTCTCAAACACTGAGCACTGAACACTTCTGCCTATAAATATACAATTATCTTCATTAGGAAGAGCCTATTGGCTGAGTCGTTCCACCCTCTAGATTGCAGCCTGGGGCAAGACAGATGCTATGGGGATGGGCAGGCACAGGTCTGTTGCTAGGAGACAGGATTCACTAAGATTGGGCTCCAGACTCCAAGATCCTGGTGAGGTTGGAGGAACCAAATCACCCAGGCATCCAATCACAGCATTCCATCCTTCTGGGCACATGATTGGTTCACAGCTGGGCAGGGGACTCAAATGAGCCAATCAGACTGTTTCATATATTCTAATGTGAGGAGTTGGGGGGAACACCCCACCCCTTCCTTTGGGGCTTTAATGATAAGGATTTGGGCTTCCAGTTTTTTGTTTTTTGCCACTGCTTGGAGGGACACGAGGCTGAGAGACAGCAAGGAAGAGAGCATGCGTCTGATGGGGAACCACATGCTTGATGCTAGACCTAATTACGGAGTTTCTTGTTTCTAAGTCAACAAAATCCCTTTCTGCTTGAGCAGCTGGAGCTGGTTTCTGTTATTTGCAAAGAAAATGACCTAAGACAGTAACAAAATTTAGGCATTATTTATTGAGCTGCAGCCAAGTGCTAGGCCCTGTGCCAAGAATGGTACATGCACATTTTATTTACTCCTTGTAACCACTCCATGAAGGAGGAACTGTTGCCCTCCCCATTTCATGGATGAGGAAAGTGAGGGTCAGAGCATGACATCACTTGTTCAAGGACAGAAAGAGATGAGGCTGCTGCTTGGTGATGCTTACCATTGACAAAATATTTTCCTTTCAAAACTCATCTGTCTTCCCATGTTCAATGCTATTATTTATCATCTTATTTCATAAGCCTTTTTGGTTTTTGTAGTTCCTATGAAATGCCTTTTCTTGGAGGTGGGGTAAGTGGGATACAGGAAGGATAGACATAAATCCATAAAATACATCCAGAAACAGCATGATGTAGTGTCTCAGCACTGGAAACTTTCCAGCAAAGTTTCTGTTCTTTCTTGGCAACCCATCCCAGTGCTGATCAATCTTATTGTTAGAAAATCCTTCCTGTTGTGCTGAAATCTTCCTCCTTGTAACTCCTACCCATTTTTCTCATTTGATGTCTGGGTTGCTTTAAACCACCTCTAGAACTGGGAAGAAGCACACATAATCCTGCAACTACAGCTACATGGACCCAAAGCAAGCTTTCTGAGCTTCCTGGCAGGCAAGGTAAAAAGGAAAAGCCTTTTTGTATACATAGTCTGGTCAATAAGCAGACCATCTTTACCAGGAAAGCCTGATTTTTACCCTGGGAATCATTGTAGGATGGGTTTATTGCAGTGGTTCTCAACCAGAGGCAACTCTTCCCCCCTAGGAGACATTTAGCAATGTCTGGAGATGTTTTTGGTTGTCACAACTGGTGGAAGAGAGGGAGTGTGCTACTGGAATATGATGGGTAAAGGTCAGGGATGATAAACGTCCAACAATGCACAAGACAGCCTCCAATAATGAAGAATGATCCTATCCAAACTGCCAATGAAGCCGAGATTGAGAAATCCTGTTTTAGAATGAGATAATTCAGAAGAGTGTAATTATATCATCAGTGGAAGCAAGGAGAAGAGGAAACAACCAGCTGGCCTCAGAGAATTGCTGCCCATGAGGAAAGGGCTCCTGGCCAGGCTTGAGATTGGCTCTCACTGGTCCATTGGACTGGGGGCTTTGGTCTTTGAGGGTCTGACTACAGGGTTAGAGAGCTATGTTCATTCCCTGAAACCACATTCTCAACAGCCTACAGAGGCAGTCCCCAGGCATGGCCACCAAGGCTCATTTTATCCTAGATAGAGCTGGCTTCTTGGTGCTGATCTCACCATACCCCAAGACCTTCAAAATGGGGTGCTGTCCAAGGTACTGGTCCAGGACATGCTTTCTAAGCCCCGTCATCCACTGGCTCCAGGACTCCATCCTATTCTCTTTTCCACCCTTTTCATTCTGTCTCTGGCTAGACACCTACCCCCTTGGACCTGATCATATCCTAATGACTCTTGTTGATTTGCCCCTGGACCCAGCTGTGACCTGGAGGCTAATTGCCCAGCCAGCCAGTGCACCAACCATTCAGCTTTACAGCCTCTGACCACAATAGGGGAAATCACTGGGCCATTCTCAGCATATCTACCCTTCCATGCACCTTCTGAGTGCCATCTAGTCTCTCAATAATCAAAAGCGCCTTCCTACATCCTTGTCTTCCTCCCTCCTCCTTACCTTCATCTTCAGAAGGTGCGCTGTCCCTTCTGGACCCCCAGCCACCCACACTGACCAGTGTGAACATTTCTCATTTATAACAATCTAATGATAGTGAGAGCTATTGTTTGTCTCCATTTTACAGAGGAGCAAATAGAGGCTCAGAGGGGTTAAATGACTTGCCCAAGACTTGTTTCCAGTACACGGAGGAGTCAAAATTTGGACTCTCTCCATTCAGCACCAAGAGCTTACATTCTCAACCCATCACCACACTGCCTCTGTTCAGCATGGTTAAGTCCATCCTCCCACATCATTGAGAACTTGTTGCTGCACCTGAACACCTTACATGGAGTCCAACCACCCAGTCTTTGCACAAGCTGGGATGGTCTCCCTGCCCAGAGTGGGGTGACCCCCAGGGTCTGCAGAAGTATCTGCTCAGGGCTTCTCCATGGAGTCATTCTCTCCTGTACTGCCCCTGCCCCCACAAACACCCCATCCTCTTCCATGGCTAATTGATGGCAAGTGGTGGGATGTTGCCAAAGCAGTGTTTATTGCTGGCTAGGGCATGGGTAGGTAGGGATCTGGGGGGCCTGAGGGTCTACCTTCCCAGCTCCACAGCCCCACTGGTGAGGAGAGCCCAGTGGCACATGACTCTCCTGGAGGCTTTCCCGTCTCAGCACTGCTGGGCCCTTGTACTTGAAGGGAAACTCATCACTGTTTTGGGTTGAGAAGAAGCGCTGTTCACCCAGCGGGGGCTCCCAGTGGCTATACTTGCACTGTGGAGTCAGGATGGGGGAGCTCAGCAGGGCAGCCTGGAGGGTGGCTGGCCCACCCAGGCCACCCTGTAGTCCCTGCACCACCCTGGGGACAGCAGAGAGTGGGGAGAGGCTCAGCCCAGTTTGGCTGATGGTTGGGTCCTGGGGAGGGGGGCAAAAGGGGGCCCTAGATTGGGCTGACCCAGGAGCTGGATGAGATGCTGGAGAGAAACCCGGGTGGGTCCCTGGAATGACCCCAGGGCTGGGATGACCCTAGGTGACTTTGCCCTAACCCTCAACCGTGGCTGATGAGTTGACCCTGACATGAGCCTTCGGCTGAGCTGGAGATGACCTGGTGCTGGGATGACATTAAGATGACCCTGAGCCTGGGGTGACCTAGAGTGACCCTGAGCGGAATTGACACTAATTCTGTGCCTGAAGTGATGGTATAATCTTCCTGAGATAACGCTACACTGACTTGGGGGAGGGGTTACCTGGTCAGAGACATACCCTCTCCCCCTCCCTCACCCGCTGTAGCATCTCCTCAGTCACGGAGGCTGGAGCTGTTCTGTGCGGCATCAGCATCTTCTGGTTCATGGTTAAAAAATCTGGTTCTGGAGATTTCAGTGGGGTGGCTGAGATGAGGGGCTGAGGGAGGATAGGCAGGGTCCAGGGGAAAGGGACGTGGGAGACTGAGCATAGGGTAAAGGTTCCTGGGCTAACGCTGATGTTGTCAGGGGAGGGGGACGGATTAGGAGTCCGGGAGGAGAGGGGAGCCAGGGTGGGCTGAGGAGGCCAGGGACGGGGCTAGGGCAGACTAGCCAAGGTTGGGGGCTGGGAGGGGACCGGAAGAGTAGGCTAGCGGGTCAGGGGGCGGAGCCAGAGTCTCGCAGAGGAGGAAGGGTTAGACTCAGGAGAGGGTGGATATGGAGAGGGGCGGGGCCAGACCAGAGGGTCGGAGTCATGCAGGGGATGGGGCCATCGCAGAGTGCGGATGGGATCACACGGGAGAAGGGTTGTTCAGGGGCAGAGTTGGGATCTTGGTCCATGGGGTGGGATCTAGCTCTTCAGGAGGCTGAGTCAGGCAGTGGAGCGGGGCGGGGTTGGCCAGGGGCGGAGCCACAGTTGTGTCAAGGGTGGGGCTTTCTGGGTGGGGAGTGGCTGCAGTCACCTCCGGTGTCCCAAGGCAGGTTGCTCCGCTGCAAGTGGAGGCTGGGCGCTTTCGGCGGCTTTGGTATCCCAGGTGGGGAATAGTCCGTACCCATGAAGGTCTGGAAGAACTGTCCGAACAGCGATGGCTCCCCTAGGGTTATGTGACTCTGCAGCTTCTCATGAGGCACGTGGCGTCTGGGTGGCTTGGTCGCAGGCAGCGGCTGTAGGACCACATGGCATCTGGGAAGTTCCCTGAGTCAGGGATGCCCCAAGATCAGGATGGAGGGAAGAAGTGGGTGCTGCGTGACCTTGGACGGCTTACACCCTCTCTGGGTCCCGCGTGATGGCACTGGGAGTTGGTACTGTTATCTCACTTTACAGACAGAGCCACTGGGGTTTGGAGTAGTTAAGTGGCTTACCCTACATCATGCAAGTGGATCCAGGAGATCTCTGCACACATGTCAATCTCACCCCCATCTCAGGGCCTTTGCACTTGCTATTATTCACTCTGCTTGGGAAGCCCTTTTCCCTCATGAGCCCTGCTGCATTCTGCTTCTTCCTGCTGACCTGGCCGTGGAAGAAGTGCGTGGAGGTGATCAGGTTGCCCGGACCGGGGTACCTGTTTCCTTCCAGAATGTGTGACTCCGGAGTCTGGTCGTGGTGAAGAACAAAATGTTCTGCCAGAGACAGAGTAGGTCTTGAGCAGCTCTGGGAGGCGGCTGTGGGTGTGAGGGGCAGGGCAGGCAGGCAGCTCTCACCTGGCTCCCGGGCAGAGAAATGTTCACCCTTGGTGGTCTTGTCATGGAAGAGGCCATCTCCAGGACGAATATTCACATAGTGGATGTGGGCTGAGGCCTGGGCCTTGTCATACCTGCGGATAAGGGGGGATGGGCAGTGAGGAGCCATCTGATCAGGGCCCCTGCACCTCCCAGGAAAAGGGAGAGAGGCAGGTTTCTCAATGGCCAAGCGAGGGGATGTTAGTGGTGGGAGATCTGGACCTTGCCTGTGGGTGATGGAGGTCCAAGGGCACAGAATTGGCCCCAGAGCCTTAGGTGGCACACCCCACATGCTGCCCTTGCCCCATCTTGGTAGGAGGCCATGGTCCCTTTGTACCTGTCTGGGGGCAGGACCTGGGGCCTGTAGGCTTGTTTCTGCTCCGGACTCATGGGCCCATAGCCAATCTTGATGTCTCCCAGTTCCACGCTGGAGGAGGCCTGTGGGTGGACGGGGTGGGAAGGTCAAGCCCACCCAGCCCCCATTGCTGCCCCCACCCACCGCCAGCAGCACCAGCACAGCCTCAACACACCCTCTTACACATCAAGGCAGGTGGGCCGGGCATGGCCTGGAACTGTCTCTGGTAAGAGGTCCAGTCGTCCTGTCTCCTGTAGTCCCACTTGAGGGGATTGGGACCCCCTGAGGATGAGCAAGAGGAGAAGAAGAATGAGATCAATTTCCTGCAGCCTCTGGACCACTGGGATCTGATTCCTTGCCTGGGAAGGGGAAGTGGGCAGTCCCGACTAGCTTAGCCTAACGCCTGTCTGGAAAACACCAAAAATAATAAAAATAATGAGAACAAGAACAGCCAGGAAGGTGGGGCGGGCATAGCTCAGTTGTAGAGCACATGCTTAGCAAGCACATGGCCCTGGGTTCAATCTCCAGTACCTCCATTAACAGCAACAAAAAAGAATACTCACCAAGTATTGAGTTAGGCACTGAGGTTAAGTGCTTTGCACCCCATGGGGGGGGTTCCTGGTATTATTCTCACAACTTTTAGCCTCTCTGAGGCTCAGAGAGGTCGAATATCTTGCCAGAAATCACAGAAATTCAGAATCAGAATGGAGTCAAATCCAGTTCCGACAATCCAGAGCCCAACTTGGAGGGTGTCTGATTGGTGACGTCCCCCAGGACTCCTATGGAGCCTCAGAATTGGGAAAATGAGAGTACTCTTTGCTGAGTGCTTACTATATGACAGGTGCATCGTACACTCTGGGCTTTTTTTGGCTTCACCAGTAACAATAAAGTGGGGCCCTGTTGTTGCACCCACATTGCAGATGAAGAAACTGAGGCTTGGAGAGGTCGACTTGCTCAGAGTCACACAACTATTAAGGCGGCAGGGCTAGGGGGTGTGGTGGTGTTGGTGGTGGTGACTTAGCAGATGTCTGACACCAGACCAGCATTCATGACTCCTGCCCACTGCACGGGAGGGACCCTGGAGTGATTCAGGAGACATGCCCATTCTGTGGCTGCAGAAACTGAGGCTCAGGGAGGCTCCAGGGTTTCTCAGCCTCTGCACAGTTGACATTTGGGGCTGGATAGTTATTTCCTGTTGACAGTAGGGAGCTGTACTGTGCGTGGTCAGATGTTTGTAGCATCCCTGGCCTCCTTCCACTCCTGGACAGTAGCACCCTCTGGGTTCTCAAGACCAAAGTGATCCCCAGACACCTTACGCTGGGGGAGGTCGCAGAATCCCTGTTCGCCTTGAGAATCAGTAAGTTGGGCAAATTGCCTAGGTCGCCCGGGCGCGCGCTCACCGAGGTGACAGCAGGGCCCCCGAGGCTTCGGGCAAACGTCGTGGGCCTGGAAGAACTCCCTGTGCGTGGTGGGCGGGATGCGCAGCTTGGCTGGGTCACCGGATGGCACCGAGTCGCGG